CGCGGGGCTATAGGCTGTAAGTGTTGCTTCTTCCGCCCGGCGGGGTTTTTTTTTTTACGAGCACCAGACTGATGCTGGGACAGGAGCGCACCGCTGCCGCCGATCAGCCGAATGGAGGACCGCACACAGACGCGGAGGTGCGTGCGCCTGCGCAAAGCCCTCCGTGTGTGTCTCGTAGAAGTCCTCCAGGCGTATGACCAGACCTTTACCGTCGTCAAGGGATTCTCTGAGCAGCTGGATCTGGAAAAGTATTTTGACATTTACGACGTCAGCGATCTGGACATCTCAGATGCGCAACACGGCCTCGTCGAGAGCGACCCAGAGGACGCGGAGTCACTGCGCATGCTCAAGATTGCAGCTTCACGATTCCACACCATGCGCAAGATGGCGCTTTGCGCTCTGCTGGCTCTTGACGCCAGTGGTGACAGTAGCGATCTCATGCGTTGGACGACCGCCGTAGAAGCTCTCCGTGCGCTCAATATGTCTACGTCTTCGAGTTTCGAACGCCTCAAGACGATACTGAGCGAGCAGGAATGTAAGTGACGCGTGAACCCTTGGACCCCTTGGGCTGGATCGACGCTAACTTGTCACAGCATTCCCCACGCCGCCCACACCTAGAATGCCGCTCACACCGGGACGAGAACGTTGGAGGGGCCAATTACGCAAATTGAACTCCCTCTCGACAGGCATTCGAGGCCTGCAAGCCAAGCTGCAGCTGCTGAGGGAGGAATCTGACCGGACACTGAACGAATCCGACGATATTTCCGAAATGGGATCCAATCTCATGTCACAATATGAATCAATCGGCGTCGACCTCAAGGCGTTGATGCAAGCCTGGGAAGAGGGCAAGGCGGCTCTTGCCGTGGGTATCGACCGGAACGAGAAACGCCTGTCATCGATGAGTACGCTCTTGTCACCGACGAGCTCCATCAGCGGCCCCACAGTCGTGGAAGAAGGAGGTGGCGCCATGGAAGCTCTCAAAGCCCTCAATGGCGAACTCCCTTCGAGTCATGCCAGCAGCAATGCAGACAGCGATGAGATATTCGAAGCCGTGGCCATGCCACGCCCTT